AATTGTTCCAAGTTGCATAATACTCTGAGTCAGGGGTCACCAACCTTTTGGACCTCAGGGACCACCAAACTCATAATTTTAGATCCCAGGGACCACTAAATGGTTCTGTGAGAGTGGCCTAATTTGTGGGTGTGGCTTGGTGGTCATATGACTGGCTGGGCATGGCTTATATGTAAATATTATCAATATTTATATATATATTTATATAAATATTGAATGTTTTATTAAAAAAGAGCAACTTTTACCCAAAATCAGGCAAAGCAGGCAGATTGAGTTGCTCACAGAATCACAGATTCATTCAGAGATATATCTGCCATTGGCTAGCTCAGTTTGTCACATAAAATTGGCTTGCAAGCAAACTCATAAAATTAACTCACAACATACCATGCATGTAAATATTGAATTTTTTATATAAAAAAGAGCAACTTTTACCCAAAATGGGGCAAAGCAGGCAGACTGAGTTGCTCACAGAATTATCCAATGATCTATCTATCTGCCATCAGCTAGCTCAGTCTCTCAAATTTGTTTGCCGTGAGTCTGCACTGAATTTGCTTGCAAGCAAACCTTCAGTCCTAAGGGAGGTTTGGCTGTGCTGAGCCGAAGATCTAAAGACTAGCTAGAAAGCAAGAAATCCAACCATTTCCTGCTTCCTAGCTAATCTAAATCTCCCGGCACAGCAGAACAGATGATGGTCGGAAAAAGGAAAAATAGCAATTTAGCAGGCAAGTTTACCAGGTAAGGAGTGAGTGGGCGGGGAGGGTTCCCGTGGGCCATGTGGATGGCACAGCCTTGTGTTTCTGCGCAGCCTGGATTAATTGCTTTGTGGGAGTGCTCTGGGAGTGAGATTTCTCTGCGGCCCACCAAAATTTTCTCACGGCCCACCAGGGGGCCGCGGCCCACCAGTTGGCGACCGCTGCTCTGAGTCTTCCTTGTTATTCAGTTCTATGGTGAGTCTATCCATTTCTGTGCATTCAAAAAAAAATTGGATTATTAAACAATCTGACGGTATGTTAGACATTTTCCAAGCTTGTGCTAGTGCAATTCTTGCTGCCATAATAATATGTATAGTCAAATATTTAATCTTTTGGGGGTATTCACCCTTAATGATCCCCAGGAGAAACAATTCAGGTTTCAACTCTCTTCAACAGTGGGTGATTTCATTTAGCCATTTTTGTATTTTAATCCAATATTTTTTAATTTCCAGCACAGCCACCAGACATGGAAAAAAGTACCTTGCGCTTGTTTGCATTTCCAACAGTTAGGGTTTAGGTTGGGATACATCTTTGCAAGCCTTGTTGGGGCTAAATGCTAACGGTAAAACATCTTGTATTGGTTTTCTTTGTATGCAGTGGATTTTGTTAAAGTATAGTTTTTGTTCCACATTTTTTCCCAATCTTCTAACTCAATATTGTGTTCAAAATTTTTGGCCCAAGCTAACATTGTTTTCAATTAGTGTGCGCTATCTGCTCTAACATATGCCGGTGAAACATGGACACTAATCTCACAATCGATACAAAAGCTATGAGTGGCACAAAGAGCTATGGAAAGATACATGCTTGGCATCACAAGACAAGATAGAAAGACCTGCAAGTGGATTAGAGAACAAATGGACGTATATGTTGCTATTAAAAGAGTAAAAGAATTGAAATGGAAATGGGCTGGTCACATAGCAAGAAGAACTGATGGCAGGTGGATCAAAGGTAGTCATTTAATAATATATATAATAATATTAATTGCTACAACTTATACAGTGATATTAACGTTTTGAAATTTAAAAAGATCAAAAATTAGCAGAAGTAGCCAATATAATAAGAATAGAACCTATAAATGCCTCAGTCTTGGAAGCTGGTTAATATGTAAGCTTAGGTAAGTTAGTACAGGTGGTCTTCGACTTATGACCACAATAGAGCTGAAAATTTCCATTGCTAAGCAATGGATGCTACAATGGCCATAAGTGTGAAAAATGGTCATACGTCACTTTTTTCAGTGCCACTGTAACGTAAAACGATCACTAAACAAATGTTATAAGTTGAGGACTACCTGTAAATACATTAAAATATTTCATTCTTAACAAGAATTTATATTATACATAAGATAATTTTTAGCTACAACTCTGAACCCAAACACTGAACATTTTCTAAAACAAGAATTATGCAAGTAATAAAAATATAGGGATTTTCTCATTGATATTAACATCAAGAACTAATAGGTTAATTTAGTGGGTGGAGAGATCAGAAAATGATATGAATATACAACTGTGGAGTTCTTTAAACATGCCAAAACTCTGTATGTACTATCTAAATGTGTAAAGGTAGCTATATTTTATACTAGCTCCATACCCGTGCTTCGCTACAAAACTATGTGGTCAGGCTTTGTTTTGGGGGAGGAAAATAAGGAGGAAAAATTCTGCCTCTGCCTACCAGCATCCATCAGTATTCTTCTGGCTAGCATCCTGTCAAGTGTGTGAGAGAGTTGAGGGCTGTTTGGAAACTGAATCAATATTTGCTGTGTGAGCAAGGAGACAGCAAGCAGCCTGGGCGTGGCTTAGCTCAACTGTTCTGTACTAAAGCTGGTTGCTGCTATGAAACTGAATCTTGAAACTGAAACTCCTCTCCTCTGCTTGTGTTTTGCATTTGGAAGAGATTTCTTTTCAGGTGGGGAAGGGGAGTAGAACTCCTTAGCATCAGAGCATGTTAATAATAATATACGAAATACTAATGCTCTGATGGTCATTTTGAAAAATCCTTTCTTAGGGAGCACCTAGAAGCCAAGAGGAACATGTGCCAAATTTCAAGTTTGCAGGCTTTACAGTTCTGGAGATTTTGTGATGATGCGTGAATAGTATTTCACTTTTATATACATAGATTGTGCTCCACTATATTGCAGCTTTTGTAACCATTTGCCAATGCTACATCTTTTTCAGATGTCAACCTGGACAGCTAGAAAGAAATGGCCAAATTAAAACTCTATATTACTGATGATCCTGATGAAAAAAATAGCTATGTACAATTACCAAATAAGAATTACCAAATAAAAGTATATCATTAAAAAAGCACAATTTCATATAGTTTGAAGATTTTTCAGCAGCTGGATCTTTTTTTTTTTTAAGAAGGAAACATGTGCTAAAGCTCTCAAGTTACTAGACTTCTCTTTCTTGGAAGTAAAGGTCATATAAGCAGAAGGAAAGTAGGAGGGAATGCTTTCTACATTTCTTTCTTTTAATGCACTGATTTATCGGAGTTCAGCAATGGGGGTTAGGAAGAAAGATGTCAAAACCTTGAAATCCAGCAGTGTTGGAATTACACAATTATCTCTAATGGAAAAAAAACGAAAGTTAAAAGCAGACAACTTATTTGAGGAGATGAAAAAAAAAATGTAACAGCTCCACTGGAATTCTGTTTCTAAATATTATCACATCAAATCTTTACCTACTGGTATTCAAATAATAATAACTGTCCATAAAAAGAATTAGGAGGAAGAAGAAAATGTGTCCTTTAATCATTCTTAATAACACTAGCATTACAGGCAAGAGTGGAATTATGTAGGCTTGATTAAGTACCTGCAAATATTACTATTGCTTCCGCGTGTAGTTAAATGCAGAAAGTAAACCATGCATTTTGCTAAGTTACTTCTGCATTATGTAACCATTTTATTAAAACTTATAATTTTCATACATGGTAGCAATCTAAAACCAAATCTTTTCCAAGAGTGCAAAACAAAGTTTCCTCACAGCAATCTGACTGCTTCAATTTCAGAAAGGCATGATGTTTTAAGAAAAATGGCCCAATGAAAATAGCAGTTGCAGGAAGACTTTATACAATGCTAACAAAATACACAGACTTCATCCAGCTCAAACTAGATAAATGAGGAATATCATCTTTAGGACTCCTAGCCAAAATTCAGAGATGCTAACATGCAGTGTGATTTTTTTTTCCTGATTTGAACCTTCCTCTCAAATATCTAAGCTTTAATTCAATTACTATATAAAGGTATTATAATATACAGTATTTCTTTAGTACGAAAATCTTGCATTTCATTATAATACTGAAAGGGAAAATAGTAAACCTCATTAAATAAACTAAATTAGAAGGTCTGTAAACTGTTCTTCATCTTATACTTTAATTAAAAATATTGTTGTGAAATATTTGCAAAATTGATCTAGCTGGGTTCTCTTGACATCAAAATACCATCTTATTTACCATTTCAAACACGGTACGTTATCTCTGGAAAGTGATTGTTTTGGTTATTTTTTTCATGCTTTGATGCCATGAACTAATTATATGAAAATTTTGTTGGAAACTGGGATTTATACTTTAGATTAATTAACAGAAGAAAATGACAATTTTTAAAATCATTTTTCACTTTAGTGCAAATGTTATTTGCCTCACATGGATCAACAGCAGTATTTACAACACCTACTAACATTTCAGGCTGGCTTGCAACATTTTCAGTCTTAGAAATACCTAATCTCTTACAGGCAATTAATAAATCCGATGGAAACTTTCTCTCCATCATGCTTGATAAAATATTGTTAGTGGTGAAACAATTTGATACTCAAATTTTAACAACTGAGTGAAAAAAAGAATTAGATTTGAATTCTTGTAGACAAGAAGATATGTTTATCAATAAAAAAACTTATTATATTTTAAATAATGCTTTATTTGACAAAAAAATATTTAAAGCTTACTAGACTCAATTGTCCTTATACAGAAAATATATAGTTATTCTGAATAACTAATTGTGTCACTGCAGATGCAAAGAGATTAATGCTTCATTTAAACATGTTTGTATTCTGTTACCAAATTGTTCCATTTTGGAAGGAAGGAAGCCATTGACCAGAATGATAGTAAATATCATATAGTATTATAAAACATTAGAACCAATATAGCATAAAACATAACTTTATAAAGTTAGCTTAAACTCTGTTAAAATAGAACTATAAAAGATTTAAGACAGTTAAATAAGCCACGATCCCTAGAAAAATTATATTTGTAATTTACCTCTTATAACATAATTATCCAAGGCTTCTTCCATTCTCTGCAAAGCTTCATTTCTGTTGGATCCATAGGTGATCAGCTAGAACACACATTTAAAAAAATGAACACTATAACAACCAGAATCTTTTTGACTCAAACATGCTGGCTATTTCACAATTCCTTTTTAATATTAAGTTTCAATACATACGTTCACTCCTCAACCTTTATGGTTTCTGTTAAGCTAGAATTTTGTCTATTATTTTTGCCAGATGAAGGTATGACAACATACAACCCTCACTGCATACTGTGTCCATAAATCTTATTCCAAATTAGGAATATGATATCCAAAACATAAGTTATATACATATTTCTAGTTTTTTTCTCTCAGCACTGGCAGGGTGCAGTTCAAGCAGACTCCTACATCACATTCTACATCTGGTGATTTTATGAGACCATTTATCAACTTCTGACAAACTGGCATCTATAGAATCGATAGTTACATGATTTCTGACCACTCGTATGATAAAACAGTAAAGAACAATCCCAACTTTTTTGAGGAGTGCAGTTTGTAGTTGAACAACAAAAGACAAAATTGACTGGCAGTGATACTGATGTTGTTAGGTTGAGCCTGGAAGAGAATTTTTTTTTATTTGTGTGTGTGCTTAAAATAAAATTAGAGTACATCCAATGATCCCATCCTATCAATAAACACTGGGAATATCATATGGAAAACTAAAACATTTTAATTTTTTTTAATGTGGCTAGACCACATTTGAAAAGAGACACAACACACAGGTGCTTTCTGAGCTTGGTGGTTTTCTTGTAGATATTTCATTATCAAGCCAAGTTAACATCATCAGTGCTTGAAGAGAGTAAGGTTTGCTCTTATTTTTATATACTATGAAATATGTGCAAGAAAACCACCAAACTCAGAGTACCAAGAACCCCAAAGTTCAACTCTGAGCTACAAATATTCTTTTCTATTGGTACTAATTTATCAGCTACAGTGTGTAAAATATCAGTCCTAGAATGGTTATTATCAGATGCTTGTCTATTTTTTATAAATCTAAATCAAGATGGGGAATTATCAGTGGTATTACTTTCTATGGCTTTCTGGATAGTATTGCAGTTAAACATCCACCACGAGCCAAGAGTCTAATCTCTAGTTTGCACACCCAGGAAGGTCTTCCCTATACTATAATATAGGTCATATAAAATGATAGGAGAAATATAGAAAGATTGCATTATTTATTATATACCACTAACAATATAACTGTTAATATATCTACAAAATTTCTGTTCCATTCAACTGGAAATCTATCTGGATTTTCCCCACTTTCATATATTATATTGTCTCCACTAATTTCTTGTCAGGTCAAAAGTTTTGCTAGTTCTATTTTCTTCTCCTGAGAAATTACTTCCTTTTCAATACTTCCAAAGAAATTGATAATTAGCTGCTCAATTGCAGATGTCTTCAATACATGTAACTTGAGTATAAAAGTAATAAAATTATTAAAAATCAAATTCTGTGCCTTAGAATATTGATCTTGGAAACAGCCAAAGAAAATGCAATTCTAAATTAAATCTTAACTGGTGTTTGTGCACTACTGCAAGATATTGTAAAACCAATAAGGAATCCAGATCACAATAGTGTTATAGCTAGCTTTTGATGTAATGGAAATTGTTAACTAGATGGAAACACAGTCACATTTGAATACAAATGGTGAAACTTCTCAAAATAGAGATAATTAAAATAAAAGAAACCAAAAACAAAAGAGGCAGATGCTTTGAATTATAATGGCTAGAGGACATGAGGTAATGAGGTTCAGCTGAAATGTATTCTACACTACAAAGAAGTATCAACCATACTAAAGAAAAGACCAACATAACTCTCTGGATAATCTTCTATTACAGTTTTGTGCTACAGAATAAACTTCTGTAAAGTTTTCTGCTGGAAAGTAGAAAGTCTATTACAACAAGAAAACAACAAACTAACCTGTGGAATTCATTACAAAATCTTGTTATAGCCAATAATTTGAAAGGCTTTAAAAAGAGTCAGGATACATTCATGGACATCAGATATGTCAAGGATTTTTACTACTGAGGGTGCAATATTACTCCTGGCCTGAAGTAATATGCCTCCAAATGCTAATTGTAGAGCAGAAATAGTGAGGAGAAGTACGCCTCTACCACTTGTCTGAGACCATTCTACAATCATCTAAATTGGCTGGTGTGGGAAACAATGTGTTGTAATACAATGGGCCTTGGCCTGATATAGCAGGCTTCTTTTTCTTTGTAGCACAGCAGTCCTCTCAACCAGCTTAACTATGAAAAAAATAGAATCTTTTCCTTCTGTTTCAAATTAGCTACAGTTTGTTGTAACCAAACCTTGTCCAATTAATTAATTTTGAGACATCCAATTTCAGACATAGTTAAAGGAACAGACTTAATACGCCAATGTTAATAAGAAATTGAGCTTCGTATCCAGCAAAACATTAAAGTACAGTCATTAACAAAAACAAGACAGATTTTAATCCTTTTAAGATACAATGCAATAAAATTGCAATGTCCTTCCTGTCAATGAATACTTCAGTTTCAACCATAACAATACAAGAGCACACAATAGATACAAACTCAAGGTTAACCATACCAAACTTGATTGCAGGAAATACGACTTCAGAAGCAGAGTGGTCAATGTCTGGAATACTCTACCTGACTCTGTGGTTTCTTCCCCAAACCCCAAAAACTTTAACCTTAAGACTGTCTACTATTGACCTCACCCCTTTCCTAAGAGGTATGTAGGGGGCGTGCATAAGCGCACCAACATGCCTACCATCCCTGTCCTATTGATTCTTTTTATTTTTCTTATATGTATCCATTTCATGTATCCATAACTATGTTTATACTTATACTTATTATCTTGTAAGTGATTGACAAATAAAATAAATAAATAAACAAACAAACAAACTAGAAACCATGATGTTTCCAAGAATCTATAAGTATAATAGTTCATTCTACTATAGCTTAAGCATCTTCAGGTTAAACAGCTAAGCCCAAGATGCCACAACTCGAGATAATTAATTAGAATAAGAAATTGTTTTTTGTACCTTTCAATTAAGAATGGAAAACTCTAACTAGTGCTCTTACAAAGTAGCAAGCTTCAATTATTATTACAAAACAAACCAGGTTAGGAAAACAATCATGATTTAATATTATGACTTTTCAGAACCTTGTTATCATAATGTCCCAATTTAGATAAATAGGAATTAATAGTTTATTAGAAATGTTCAGGTTTAATTGTGTCTTGGTCAAAGTCATAAAGAAAAGGGAAGTAAAGACTTGTTTATACTTTGACTTAAAAAGTGTAAAGCACAGTCAACTCAGATGTCACTATTGTCCCTACTAAAACTGAAAGCTAAACAAAAAGATTTATGCTCACAAAACACTGTGATGAAGGATGTTTTAAAAGTTTGTAGTAATTTAAGAAACATAAGATTTTTGAATTCAAAATAAAGCTAATTTCTTAAATAATGTCATTCCAAAAATAAGTTATATTCTACTGAAATAGTATCCTGTTACCATACAGAATGAAACAAAAATGCATTTAAGAGGTAACCAGCATGAAATAATTATATATTTTCAATGGATCACGATAGCAAAGATTTTACCAAAAGAAGGACTGACTCTCTTTAGCTTTCTTATGAGAAAATTGCACTTTTCTATATACATACGTTAAAAATAGCATGCGTATTTCAATGGATAAAAATTTAACTTACTTTTGAAATCATGGGATCATAATAAATACTGATTTCACTTCCTTGCTGTATGCCACTGTCAACGCGAACCTAGAACAAATTGGGATAAATTAGTTTTATAATAGGAGGAGGTTGGGGTTAGTTATTATTAACAGTAGTAAGCATGACCATTCTTTTGAATATTGCATTTATTGCAATGGACCATAAGGCAAAGTTTCCACAAATCTTACCTCTCTATTTTGATATCTAAGTCTTAAATCCTCCACTAGAGGATTCATCATTGCCATAAAAATGTTTGTAGTTATTGATTTTACCAACATCTTACACAAAAAATATCTGTGTTCTGTATTACATTATGTATAACTTACTACACCCAGGATTTTACTACTCCAGAAGAATACTCAGGTATACCAAAAAAAAAACCTTTAGAACTGATAAGCTAGCTTCTATTAATTCTTGGTTTCTAACTTTCATAAATGCAACCATTTCCTTTTCTGTTTCACTCTCATCTGAAACCTGTATTTCTCTCAAATATGCAGTTCTAGTGACATTCAGAGAGTTTTTGCAGTTATGTTCTGCAAGGTTACAGTTTTAAATAGGTTTTCATAGACTGAGTGGGAAAGATAAATACATCAACATATGAAGGCATGTGTGCACATACACACATACATACAAGACTCTAGTAACTACTGAACTGTTTGAAGAATCTGGTAACTGTTAATTAACCAACAAAACTTAGTGTTATTCATTAATATAATTTTAATCTCCTACTTACTTTTTACCAGGCTGCATATTAAAAATAAATATTAATTATTAAATAACTAATTCCAGAATAAGTACTTGCTGGTTTTGAAATTTGTAAAGCATGTTAAATGAAACACATAGACTTTTACTTTTTTAAAAAAATAAGATAATTTAATAGTCTGATAATTTTGAGAAGAAAAACTAAACCTGATGAGGTAAAAGAGATGTAACACAAAATATTGCATTTGGGTTTGGAGGACTGAGGGAAAGAAACAGCTTAGAAACTCCCTTCAATCTTCACCTGGGGAAAAGAATTTTTTTGTAATAAAACAGCAGTTCATCTGTCTGCAACAAGGCAGAAAGAGGTCAACCCAACGGCTGTTAGGCTTTTAGATTTTAATTTAGGCAATTATCAAGGGACCAGATGTAGAACCTCTTGTCTACAATATCCACATGAGGTCACACTGATGACTTTATTATCCAAATGACATGTCCTAATAGGCTTTACTCTATGAAAACTGCATCACATTCTTCCATGATGAAAAAAAAAAGATGGATTGTGCTTTATAATTACACATTTATTAATGCAGGCTTCTTAATTCAAACAGCAACTGTCAAGCACCTTCTTTAGAAAACAAACAAGATGCCTTAGAAATGCCCAGTCATCAAAACAATGATTTTAGCTATCCTCATTCCACAGGAGAAGAGCAATTATGCAAGCACAACTATTGAGGTTCAAAAGGAAACTAACTTTCAAAATTCTGCATCACTTTCACCACAAAATACATACTTAAAAATTAGAATTTTAAGAACGAAACAAGGAAGGGAATAAAGTAATTTTCCAATATAAACATACTGTGCACCTTTTCAAAAAATTTAAGCTAAAGAATTAAAAAGGAAGCCAGAATAACCCAAAAATAAGGGAATATGTTTCCTCATGAAACAAGATTTGTTATGCAACAATGTGGCAGTAATCATTTGAATTAGTTATGCCTTTGACGTTCCAAACATGTACTATTATTTGCAAGCTAACATAGCAAGGCTGTGACGATTAAAAAATCGCAAACTTTTGAACTTTGTAAATGGAAAAAGGTTGTTCATGATGTCTGAATATCTATGGCAAGGGTGTCAAACTCACGGCCCTCAGGCCAGATAATCATGCGCTGGCCACACCACCCTCATTTAGTGAAGGGGGGGAAAGTCGTGATACGTCAGGTGACGACAACGTGATGCCACAAGTTTGAAACCCCTGGTCTATGGAGATTCTTAATCATGCAGGTCATTGAAGCTTCTTGGATGAGAAGCAAAATGTTTTCAAAGAAAAAAGCCAAGAAAGTCCAATTGCCTTTGGAAAAAAGCATTTTTAATGCCATTGAATACAGATTCCATATGGATCATATAGGATATTGTAACTTAATTACTTTAATGGATAGTAAAACAGTGCTGTTACATAGGTAAAAAAGGATTTTTATTTACTGAATGGTTCTATTTTTGCAGAAACCTTAGTGAACTTTATGGTGCAGTCTTCTTAAGGGCTTCCTATGTTAATATCTACATCTTAAAAATAGGAAGTTGATACTGTTATTAATGTTTCCTGAGACTAGAGGTTCTTTTGCTTGGCTGCAGAACACATGAAAATAAACCGACAGAGAGAATCAAAATTTAAAATTTAAAAAAAAAATTATAGTCAGTTTTCAATTTGATGGTATATAGCCTTGAGTGAACATATTACATTTTAATCCTAATTTCCAGTAAAATAGTAAAACACAGATAATTTCCCTCTGTATATAGGAAACTAGGTATCTAGGATAATGCTATATGAAACAGGTTTAACAGCTCAGGAAAACTTGACACCAGTAATTTTGTAATATTCTACATATATTTTTATTCTTGTAATTTCCCTCAAGTAGTACATTTGTTTTTGTTTTTTAAATGATACATTTATGCAAGTACATTCTAGTATGTTATAAATAATACTAGGCTATTTCAAATGAAGTTAAACAGTAACAGCAACTACAGTTATTAACCTCAAGATTTTCAAGTCTCTGTCCATAGCACCAGAAAATGTATTTTTTAGTTAATTCTATTTAGGATCAAGCAACCTCTGAGACATTTTAAGGGCAAATATCATGTATAAATACATACCAGAGATAGAAAAAATGCAGGATTATAAGTAAACCATTAAAAAGTGAAAGCTATTTTTGAATTTAAGTGGGTTTGACTATCAATCATTTTTGTTGTGTTTACAATACGGCTTTTAGAGTTCCTAACATATAACATCTTAAGTTGTGAGGGCAAAGAAAGCTTGTTTATTTTATTAGAATAATAAAAGAATGTTTCCTATCAACATAAAGGTCAGCGCTACTGAAAAATGAAATGAAAAATCTAGTCACCTTCTTTTCTTGAAGGCAAAGTATGAATCTATGGTAATAAAATTGCCACAGGATCCCAACACCGAGGTTAAGAGCAAGTTCTCCATTCCATACACAGGCATTAACCCCCAAAAGCTTCTCAATCTGACCAATATCTAGATGTGTGGATTTCAATTCTCAAAATTCTCAACAGTGATCATGATAGCTGGAGAATTTGGAGAGCTGAAATCAGCTTTGATGGCATTCTGACTGTCTCTGAAGGCTTTCAACTGGGAGACTACTAGGTTTTCTTGTGCATTTGGTTGTCCACCTTGAGAAGAGCTTGTTGGATGACTAAATGGGCCACAAATAAACTAAATAACAACTAAATAAACCATCAGGGCACCGCTTATGTTATTAAATGTAATTGCCTATAATGAGGAACACTACTTTAAGTATTTGTTGCCAAGCGTCTTACAACATGAGTGCATATAAACAAGGATATGTCTTGTTACTTCATTTGTGGCAAGTCTGAGCTCACATGTAAACTCTATTACACTTATATTAAACAAAAAATAATAATTTCATGACCATTGCAAGCATGGAGTTTTAATCACTGAACGCAACTGTACTTCTGCACTATTTTTATTTATTTAGTGTTTATTTATATCCTGCCATTATTATTTTTATAAATGACTCAAGGTAGCAAACATACCTAATATTCCTTCCTCCTCCCTATTTTCCCCACAACAACCCTGTGAGTAGGTTGGGCTGAGACAGGGGGACTGGCTTTGTGGCCTAAGGCAGGATTAGAAGTCACAGTTTATTGGGTTTCTAGCCTGGTACTTTAATCACCAGACCTCTCTGACTATACCTTTCTCTTTTGGCAAATAATTCTCTTTTGGTCAATTTTGGAAATAGAAGAAACAATTAATCTTTATAAGGGAAATGCAAAGAAATGTTATACTGTACTATTTCCATAAATTTATAGGACATGTACAACTGACAGAATATTTTCTTATTTTCAAATGTGCCCTGCTGCTTATAAAAAGAAAAACAAAATAAATCAACACAATTTGCAAAAAAAGTGCTATTTTAACACAGTGGTGAGAGCACACCAAAAAGGAAAGGCCCAGGCACTTCATATGAAATCCTCAAAAATCATTACTCTTAGGCGTCCAACATAATTAAAATTTCTTCCCTCAGTATCATGATGGAGCATGTGAATCTATCAGGCATCTCCCACCCTTCATTTTCAATTCACCTCTCCCCTAAGCACAGCTCCCAACCCACCATGTCTACCTGACAAGTGACAGCCCAATCTGATTAAATGCTTGCAAAGGAGGGGCCTTGCAGGCCTCCATGACAGGCCAAAAGTGATCACCATGGAGATACATAATTACAGCTGTCAACGCATCTACTGTCCTGCTGGCATCAATTTGATTGCTCCCAGCAATAATGATAGACAAAGCTTAGCATGCACTCTCTTGCACCCAATCACTTTATCTATTTTGTGATCCATTTAGCTGACATGCAACATTCGCACAAGCAAATAACAGCAGTAAGCAGAACATTTAAGGTATTTTAATTGTTTTTTTCTTTCTCTAGATGGCTCATAAGTGCAAATGTTATTACATAAAACTCCTGCTGCAGCATTAATTGAAGAAAGATTTGGTGGGACAAAGACCATAGGAGGTAGAGTTTGTCCATTATCACTTGTACTTTCAACAGGTCTCATGTTCAGAATATTGCAAATTGCAAAAACTTGCAAGGGCAAAATATTTGACATCCTGTTAGCTATTACACGATGGTGAAAAACCTCGACCCATCCCCAGAGTAATTACTGGAAATTCTTCCTTAGTTCATTTGGGTTTCATTAAACATGATTAAGATACATTCTGTAACATGTGTGCTTGTGTGTTTAAATCTTCCATTTAATATCATATAGAATTTACTAAACATTTATACGTTGTATTTCTGCTTTTAAACACAGCTTGAATTCTTAAAGCCACACCCACCCCGGGCCAAATTTCTATAGTAATCATACAGGCAAAAACAATTTTAGAAATCAAATAAATCCTATATTCAGTTTCACCAAATTTAAAATTCAGGAGTATATCATTTCCCCATTTCCCCCATGTAGCTAATAATGGTAAATAACCATGTCTACAGTAGTATCCCCTTTGTCATTTCACAAAGCCAACACCATTCCATGCTTATGTAGCCAATATTTTGGCTACCTTGAAGAACAGAAATGCACTTGCCTTTTGTATAAAAACCAATTAAACAAGAACTCCAAAAAAAACTTGTACAGGATAAATACTTGTACAGTATTTCACTATGTATAGAAAAATACCTTTCAGCTTTTAAAAAGCTTCAAATCTAAATAGAAGCATTCCATTATAAAAGCCAGAATTATGTCACGGCTTGTTCAACATTTTAAAGAATGACTATGTAGAACGGTTGAGTTTATTTAGATGTACATCCCAAGATATATGGTGTTTGGAGGTTTGTATGTTTGTGTTTGTTTTGGGTACAGTACAATTCATTTCTAATTATCACTAATTAATATAAATAACTATATTCCTCCTTGGTTTATAGAAATAGTTTAGGACAACTAGCCTTAAGAAGTCCTGAATTCTTCTAAATCTGCAAAACACTATGAAATCTATGAATTGTTCATGCTTTGAAAATAAGTAATAATAAAACATCAGAATTACTTACATTTGGGACATGCAGGGGCTCTTCGTATTGAGACAATCTGCCAACAGAGGGCAGACCAAAAGATTTGTAAGGGTCCTAAAATGAAATTCAAAACACAGAGTGGTATTAACTTTGTAAGACAAAGCCCAGGAAGCAAGGTTAAGCCACTGGAAAACTAAGCATTTCCTCTACTTTAAATATGGACCAACTATATTTTGTTCTCAAAATGACTTATTTTAGTAGGGTTATGAAACTGCTTCTTCCATTCAAGTCATGGAAGATTTGTTAAAGCTAAAAACTTCCTGCTGTGCCTTTATTAAAGCAAGGGCAACCTTTCTAAAAGAAAGCACAATACTAAGGGGCAAGCTAAGAACACACGTTCCCCACATTCACACACACACATGCAAACGCAGGTGCACACACACACACACACACACACACACACAGAAACACACACAGAGAGTAATACTCCACAGATAAGTACTTCTGGGAACTGTATAAAAGACTCAAGTTTTTAGGATCATACCGTATATAAATTAATAACACTGTTATATTTAAGACATGCACCCCAGTTTAAATGCAATCGTAGTTCGGTCCAAACATGTGAATAAAATTTCCACATTATTGTATGTATTATTGCATTCAAATTCTCAGTCATTTAAGAACACTCAGAAGAAAAGAGTAAACAGGAAAAAAAACATAAAATAACATGTGTTACTCAATATAAAGAGACCTGAAAAAATTATTCTAACAGTGACTTTAAAATAGAAAACAACTTTTTCAACTTTTGCTTTCATATCCCAGTGGCACCATTTATAAAAGTTAACTTGGTCAATTCCAAATAAAAAGGATGTTCTAAAAATACTACTATTGGTTGGCCACATAGCCTATTATTGATATATAGTCTATAATATCTCCAGGAAATGTACAGCAACCACATTTTCTTTTCAGACCATTTTTTAAGGGCTCAGTATTTTTTTGCTTTTCTAAATAAGCAAAGTTATACAAAATGTTGAAATACCATTATAATCTTTTCCCAAATATATTATTCTCTAGATCATAGAGAATTTTATAGAATGAATTGGGGGGGGGGGGTGACTTCATTCATGCACATGGACTGGAACAAGATAAAAATAAATCCTAGCTTCTCCCAACATCTAACAAGTTTCTTCTACAGCAATTCTCTTTCCAGCTATTAAGAGTTATTTTTTACCTCTGCATATACTCGGCATTCAACTGCCCAGCCGTTGATGGGAATATCAGCCTGCTTGTGCCTAAGAGGGTATCCCTTAGCAACACGGATCATTTCTTGGACCAGATCCAAACCAGTAATGCATTCTGTGATGGGATGTTCAACCTGCAAGGTTAAGAACTGTCAGTCAGTCAGTAACAACGCAACTTTCTGATATCTCAACCTGATTAACAAAATCGGGTGGGAGTTAATTTACAATATGAAATATGGATGGCCCTCTTTGTCACACGACGTACAGAAACTATATGACTATTATTTGTTGCAGAAAATAGATATATACAACAAAATCAAGCAAAAAATAATTGCAGATAATGGCTAAAATAGACTGGATATATGGATGGACAGATAAGAAAACGTTTTGGGGAAGTGACTTTTAAAAAGAGAACAACTTCTAATCTAGAAATTCAAAAGCATATTGACTGAATCTCAAAAAGCTGGCTGATAATCAACCCATTCTGCTACACTTAACATGGCATGTACAGGAGCAGCCTACAATCTTCCATAGAATCAGACTAGCTAAGTCTTACCCACACGCCTGCTTTCACTAACCTGTCCTGACAAGCAACGAGATTAGCGTAATCTTACATCAATGCAGTGTAGCAGAAATGAGCAGATGGATACTTCAGGGTTGTTGTTTTTTTTCCATACAGACTTATCTCTGTAGTGCTTAGCATGCATAATAGCAGAGCTGGACCAGTAGAATCACTGCATGCTCTCAACAAATAGCTGCTAACAACTCAGGATGATGCTGTCGTGGGAATACCCTC